GGGTTACACTGACTGAGTGGGCACCTTCTCCAAAGATCCTACCTAAAAGCCTGGTCTCGTCTGAGGAGCTTAGAGAAGAATGTGCAGGAAATCCGAGATCGCACAATAAATCCAGTGATGAATGTAGAAGTCTGTGAAAAACAAGTCATCCTGTGGAAGACGGACACAGTTGAAACTGCATCACTGTTGACTTTTTGAAACTTCTGATTTCAGAATAAAATCCACTTGTATCATGTGTGTATGAATATGTTGTGAGCTGCATGTTTCCATCTACTTCCTAATCATATTGATGCATTTTGACAGCATTTGTGTATAAATATACCTATATAATTATTAATATAGCAAACATTTGGACAAAATTGATCTTTAGGGATTTATTTTTTAAAAACGGAAGTTGTGCTCGTTCTTCTTCCGGTTGGTGCGTTGTGATTTTTGTGAATTGACTCCGGAGCAGCTCCAGCGTCGGGCAAAAGATGAATCTAATTTTGGCGGATCACCGTCCACTCGCTGCCCTGCACCATCATGAGGAGCCAGTGTAAATACTCTCATTGATAATAACGGCTGAATATTTACTGCAGAGGTTGGACCGGAGCAGAACAGCATGGTGTAAATTGAGGATTAAGTTCTATCTCCTTCTGGGCCCGACAAGGTCCAGACTCACACGGGCCCCATATGAGCCCGGGCCAGGGGTGTGCTGCCCTCCAAGCCCCCCTGAAACTCAGCCCCTTTTCGGACCAACAACATGTTGGAACAACAAATATATTGTATTGTTTGTCTTAAATAACTTAAGGTACAACTTAAACGATCAAACAATTGCTGATTCGTTCTACTAATGTTCAAGCACATAAATATTAAAATAACCATGAAATAAACATTTGAAACTAATAAATGTTCAAAACATGTGTCTTAACAGGTCTAACACTGGAAACATGTTAGACAAACCCAAACTGTGTTTTGAGTTTTTGTTCTAAAACCAGAGCTTACATTGTTGGAAAAGAAAAGAGCTGGTACTAAGTGAGCTCTGGCTRCAGTTTAGCTCTGAAACCTGTTTGGTTAAAACAAACCAACATTGTGACCTGAGCAGTCCAACAAGAGCTGTATGTGTGAATGTAAAGCTACAGATCTCCTTTAATGTCCTGTTCATGTGTTTCAGTGGTTCCTGAAGGGGGTCGGGTATTGATTAAAGAAGATCCTGAAGAACAGAAGCCTGATGTGGACCAGCAGGACCAAGAACACCTCCATATAAAAGAGGAAGAGGAGGAACTGTGGAGCAGTCTGGGAGCAGAGCAGCTCAATGTGAAGGAGGAGACTGATGCCACCAACTTTAAGATCACTGCAGTTCCTTTGAAGCCTGAGGATGATGAAGATAAACCTCTGTTCTTACAGCTTCATCAACATCAAGATGAAGTCAGAGATCTTCCAACCAGAAGCTCAGCTCAGGGTTCTGACTCCTCAGAAACTGAAGTCAGTGAGGAGGATGAAGAGGATAATGATGTGAACAATCCTGACTCTCAGTTGAAACATTTTGTAGACTCTGGGTCAAAACCTGATAAAGACTGTGAGTCTTCCAGCAGGGTTCCTGAATCAGGTGTTAAAAACAACAACAACGAACAGAAGCAGTTGTGTTGTGAGCTGTGTGGGAGAAGGTCTACCACAAAGAGCAGTTTAAAGAAACACATGAGAATCCACACAGGACAGAAAACTTTTTGTTGTGAGCTGTGTAGTCAAAGGTTTTTCACAAAGAGCAATTTAAACTCACACATGAGAATCCACACAGGAGAGAAACCATTTTGTTGTGAGCTGTGTGATCYAAGGTTTACCYMAAAGAGRKYTTTAAACAKACACATGAGAATCCACACAGGAGAGAAACCATTTTGTTGTGAGCTGTGTGATCAAAGGTTTACCCAAAAGAGCAAAGGTTTACC